GATGGCGAAACTACCGGTGGTGTGGCGGTCGGCGGGGTGACAGGCGCCCCGGTCCCGGCAGCTGCTGTGTGGCCCAGGGGCTCACAGGTTGCAACCAGATTGGCCGCCACATGGTCACCACCTGCGTTGTCCGTAGGGACGGCGTGAGGGTTGGTCACTTCAGCGGTGCCTGCCTCTTCGGCGCTCGCTGAGTTGTCGACTTGCATGACTGTTGGCGTTGTGGGGTCACTGAGGAGTCCTGCCTCGAGGATCATTGGATCCGAGGCCGACTCGACTCTAATGCATTGGCCGTCGTTTAGCATGTGACCAAATTCGAATGGGAGCGGAGCCCCTAGTTCAGCCAGGTCCTTCTCCCGCCTGGGAACGGCCTGGTCGCAAAAGCAGGATTCGCCTGCATCCTGCTGCGGCTTCGGCTTTTGCTTTTGCTTTGCGCAGGCGTACTCAGAATGTTGGCAGGCGTGGAGTTGCCGGGTGACGTCGTCCCGTGGGCATCTTCTTGCAACATGCGGTGCCTTCATGGCACCAACGGCGCCGCCGCCGCTCTTGCGGGTCCCAACCTCGCCATCGACGACGCCCCTCTGGCACCAGAATCCTTGGAGCCAAGGACCGGTTCCTCGCTGGAAGTGGTGGCGATCTGGATTGCCATCCTGGCCACTGTCGCCGTTGTCGGTGGTTGGCGGAGGTGGCGGCGGCGAGAGGTCGGCAGAACGGGTCGGCGATGCTTTGCGAATGTGGGCGCCATTACCGGTACATGAGGACGTTCTTGCGACGCGAGGATGGCTGCAACCTGCCGAAGAGCAGCCACTGCGCCGCGGTCACGAAGCTCGTTCTCGGCGACGTGCAGCGGACAACCTTTGGGATGGCCCTCGGTCGCTTGTCCAAGCGATAAGCTTGAACGCAGAGAGGTTCGCCTTGGGCGCCGACGATGATGGGTCGACTGGGTGCACCCAACAACCGGGGCGAGGATCTTTGCCCCCCTGCATGAGGCGGAATGCCTTCAAGCTCCACGTCCGCCTGAACTTCATGGAAGCAGCCTCGGCGTGAGCCAAAGCGAGTCGAGGCGGAGCACCGGTGCTGGTTCCTGCTGCTGGAACTGTGGACGCAGCAAGCATGGTGTCGCGGACCTCTCTGCTCCGACACTTAACCAAGAAGTTCTCAGGGAAGAATAAAGGAGCCATCTTAGATGCCGTCGATGCCCGCTAAGGTGCGAGTGGTGTCTGCGATGTCGACGGTGGCCGTGGAGTCTACCGCCAACGCTGTGATGGCGTTGCGCAGACTTGCTTCAGCGTCGTTGATGGCGGACGATTGTTGGATGATACAGGCGACCTCCACTTGCCTCGCCGCAGAGTGAGCGGGTGGCACCGGCACGTGGTCATCGGGGACGGAGGCTTGAGGCAGGCTGCCTGGCGGGGTGGAGCCTACAGCCTGTGAGGAAGCGCCTCTCGCGCATGTAGCCTCGCAACTCTGTACTCTTGCTTATTAATACAAAGCCGGATATTTTCTGATCTTTCAAAAAAAAAAAGTCATACCACTCGCTACACGTGCAGTTTAATATTTGTAGGGTACAATTTGAGGTGAGATATAAGATGGATCAAGTGTGCTAACCTCAAGAGTATATTATATTTAATCCTAATAATCATTCTTTACCACAAAGAATCTAAAAAACTAGACAGGTCATAGCAAACTTTGGTCTACACCAACCTCCTCCACTGCTCAAGATATTCATTTTTTTAAAAAAATATCTATGTAGTATTTTTTTATAATAATAGTAAATCAATAGCATTGATACATTTAAATCGCAGAGTGGGTAATTTTGATATAACTTCAAGAGGTACTTTAATTTAGATTATATATTATGGAGTAGGCAAGTAATTTAGACGTAAATTTAGAGTGTTATTTTAGATTATGTTTCATAATGGTATAAGTGGGAAATTCATACGCAGATTTAGAGATTATGTTACGTTATTTTCATAACAGTAGAATTGATTATATTTTTAGAAAACATAATAGATCCAATGACTATTATTATAAATAGTGATTAGAGTATAACGAATTGATGTTCGGATCTTTTTTATTTTTATAAGGCTTTCTAGAATCTATTCTTTTTTCTAGCACATTCTGTGAGAATTAATATGGAACCTCCGATTAGTAATGTAAAATGGGCACGTGAAAATACAAAATTTTAAAAATAAAATCAAAATTGGCATGTGCAAACACATTGAAAATTGGCATACGGAAGCCACATTTGGATGTTGACTTCACAGTAGCCTGCAAAAAGTCAACATAAAAAATCACCCTGCACGGCTGTACCACCAAAATCAACTCAAATTTCGGTTCCAAACAATTATTGGGAGGCGTCGAAGTAGGGAGGGCGATGGGCCTCTTCGGTTTGAGACCCGCGCAGAAGAAGCTCATCGGCGTCAAAGATTACGCGCTGGTGGTCCGGAAGACCGGAACTAGGACGAAATGGGAGTTGATCGACATGATGGCCCCAGTGCATGCAAAATGAGTGTTGGCCTAAGCCTCAGAACTATACTTGTCCATCGGGCTGGCCCGGCTCGGCACGGCCCGGGCACGGGCCAGGCACGGCCCGGGCACGGGCCAGGCACGGCCCGGAGGATGTCGGGCCGGCACGGCACGCCGTGCCTCCCTCGTGTGTGCTGCACATCGCGGGCCTCGTGTCTTGCCTCCGGCCCAGGCACGCGCACTATGGGCCGATTCAGTGCAAAGCCGGGCCCGTGAGGCACGGCCATTTTCACAGCCGTGCCACCCGAGGCCCACGAGAGAGGAAGGGAGAGCAGGAGGCGGGCGCCATGGGGGCGGCACGCCGCACGCCAGGCCGCCGCCCCAGGCACATCCGCCGCCAAGACAGACGCCGCCTGGAGGTGGGGCCAGCAGGGGGCGCCGCCAGGAGGAAGACGGCAGTGCTGCTTGAACCCTAGAATCCTAGATCCGCCACCGGTGAGCGCGCCCGCAGCAGATGCCACCGCCTGGGCCGCCTTGGGCTCGCGGGATCTGAGGGAGAGGGTGGGGGAGGGCGCCACCGTCGCTGGCTTGCCGGATCTGAGGAAGAGGGTGCCACCGTCGCTGGCTCGCCGGATCTGAGGGAGAGGGGAGGAAGAGTGTGGAGGACAGCCTGCAGCGCGGTGAGGAGGACGACGGATCTCGGGGCACCGGATCTGCGTCGGGGCGGAGCTCGGGGCCGGCGCTAGGGTTCGGGGTGAGGCGTGAGGGAGCGGCGCCGGCGCTAGGGTTCGGGGTGAGGCGTGAGGGAGAGGCGGAGAGCCGGAGAGGGAGCGGCGTCGGTGAGGGGTGAGGGAGAGCCGGAGAGGCGGAGAAGGAGCGGCGCCGGTGAGGCGTGAGGGAGAGGAGGGAGCGGCGGGGTTCGGGGTGAGGCGTGAGTGCGTGAGGCCGTGAGGGAGAGGCGGAGAGGGAGCGGCGCCGGTGCTAGGGTTCGGGGTGACGGGGGCGTGAGGGAGCGGCGCCGGTGGCCGCTTATATATGAGGGGGGTAGCGGGCCGGGGACGACGTGGGCCTTGGGGAGGGGAGGGGGCGCGGTGAGGCCGTGGCTGCAGGCCGGGCCGCTAGCGGGCCGGCTGCTCTGTAGCGGCCGTGCCGTGCCGGCCCACGTGCCTGGGGTAAGGCCCAGGCACGGCCTGCTCCCTCGAGCCGGGCCAGCCCGGGCCCACTAGCCTCCGTGCCGGGCCGTGCTCGTGTCGGGCTAAAAAAGCGGGCTCCGTGCCGTGTCGTCGTGCCTCGGGCTGCATGGCCAAGTATACTCAGAACTCAGTCCCACTTTGTCATTCAGTTTGTTGTGTCTCTGTTTCTGCTGGAGTGCTGGTGTACCACAGGCTACCAGCCGTTCGGAATTTCGGATTGGGAATGCAGACCTCGGTGCTATGGACTTTCGCTTTGTCTTTTGGAGTTGAGCTGAGTAGCAGCTGTTATAGGCGTTTGGTTTGTAATATAGGTTCAGTACGTACGATCCCATCGGAGATCGGACGGAGACGTCCGCTGTATTTCCGCCGGATGACTAGACGAAGGACCGGTCGCCAGTCGGTGTCTCGGTGACGAACTGACGATCGAGACGATCCAAACGAAATGTGTGGCTCAGTTTTTGGATTGGACGACTCCAAGGCCGTCCGGCGACGCAACCAAATTGTGCCGTAGTTCCTCGAATGTGTGGCATGATGACCAAAAGCCAAATAAGTTTGGTGCTCACTGGTGAGCAAGTCAACAAAGCTCGCTAATTGGTAGCTGCAGATGCGACTTACTGCTGACTTTCAACCTCGCAAAGAAACAAATGTTGTGTGAAAATTGAAGCAATAAGACACTGTATAAAACAAACCCATAGAGCGGCCGTTGCTGGCTGCTGTCTGAACGTAGATTGTTTAGTGCCTTAGTCATCAAATCGTCTTGGCCATCACCAATGGTCAAGAATAAACTCTCACGGCCTTATTTTTCTGAACAAGTTGTAATGGGGGTGGAGAATAGCAACACACTATGTTCTTAATGTTAACCAAAGCCTTAGCTTGACAGCATCATAATTCGCCATTTCTTTAGCACAGTTCAAACAACCTAGTGCTGCTAATTTTAGACATCAATCGCTGATGATCGCCTCCAAGTCCCAACTTCCCCTTTACCAATTCAAGTATTCAACGATTCTCAAAGTTGGAGAATACAGACACAATACAAGTCAGCTTGCATATAGCATAATAAACCTTGATTTGCTGACGGTTGTTCAGAATATGGTATTGTTGGCTGAAATGGGCATCCAACCAAGGGCCTCTTCTAAATAAGGGCTTCAACATCGGGAGGGCGTCACGGCACATGATTTTCCTAGAGAAGACAAGGAATACATACAAAAGTCAGATCAATGCTACGACTAACATTGAGTAGATGTTGCACATATAAACACCCAGAGCCAGTGTGCATGTGAACTGTGAGTTCACAACAAGTACCTCTTCCTAACCTTGAAAGCTCTTCTTTTTTCCTTTAGTATGGCTACCTGGCTTTCTCCATGCGCCTTATCCTTACTTTTACTGCAACTTTCTCTCCAACTATCTCCATTGCATGCCACCGATTCCCTCACTGCGAATCAGCAGCTCTCCGGTGACCAGAAGCTTATCTCTCAGAACGGCAATTTTGCATTGGGATTCTTCCAACCTGCAGGTGAGTACTATTTTTTAAAAGAAAAGCACTCATGTTTCTGTGATATAAAAACGAACAGAATGTGATATTCATTAGGGATTTGTTCTTTTTCAGAAAGTGATCAGTAGAGAAGCACTATAGATTTTTCAATCCAAGTCCCAACCTTATCACTACTACAAAGATAACAACACAATATTAGAATCAGAATGTAATGAGTTAGCCTTTTTTATGATCTGATTTCTCTTATTTTGCATTAGCAGCTGAAACATCAAGTGGCAAGTGGTACATAGCCATCTGGTACAATAAAATCCCAGAACAGACTATAGTGTGGGTGGCAAACAGAGAGAAACCAGTCTTTGATACACTCCTATCAAGACTAACTGTCTCAGATGATGGCAATTTGGTTCTTCTACTAAACCATTCTAAATCTCCCCTCTGGTCTACCAATATCAAGAACAACACAGCTGCTAGTTCCACAGTGGTTGTGCTCCTCGGCAATGGGAACCTTGTAGTCCGACATGAGGCTAATACCTCTGCTGTGTTATGGCAAAGTTTTGATGATTTCACAGACACATGGCTCCCAGGAAACAAGCTCAGTCGTAACAAGAAAACTGGCATCATCAAACGGATGATCTCTTGGAAAGACCGTGGTGACCCAGCTCAGGGGATGTTCTCCATTCAGTTAGATCCTAATGGCTCACCGCAACATATTCTGCAATGGAATAGATCAGTGGTGTACTGGACTACTGGCAACTGGACTGATAATGGATTCAGTGGTGTGCCGGAGATGTCACCTCTCAATCCCTATCCCAGCTCAAGGTTTATGTTCCAGTTTGTTGACAATGATGAGGAGGCATATTTCACATACAATATTAAGGATGATGCGCTAATATTCACAAGAACTATTATTGATGTGTCAGGTCTGTTTCAGACTTTGGTATGGGCACAGGCACAACAAGCATGGACAAATTCTTTCACGAAACCAAAAGCCAAGTGCAGTGTTTATGGTGTGTGTGGGGAATAGAGCACATGTAGTGAGAATGATGCGTCACCATGCAGTTGCCTCAAGGGCTTCAGTGAGAATCACCCAAACAACTGGAAACTAGATGACCGGACAGCAGGCTGTAGGAGAAACATCCCACTGCAGTGTGGCAACAATGGCTCAGTGAAGGTGAAGCAAGATAGATTTTATGCTATTAATAGTGTGAAGTTGCCAGATGACGCACACAACATAGATGCAACCAGTGTTCAAGACTGTGAATTAATGTGCCTGAAAAACTGCTCCTGCACAGCTTACTCTCATAGTGGCACTTGCTTGGTTTGGTACAACCATTTGATGAATCTACAAGACAATATTGATGGATCAAGTGATAGTATCTTTATTAGAGTGGCTGCATCAGAACTACCCAACTCAGGAAACAATAAGTTGTTGTTTATTGGGATAATCATTGGTGGAATTTTTGCTGTAAGTTCTGGATTGGCCATTTTATATTTTCTTCATAGAAGAACAACAACAATAGATGGTTTAAATCATGGTGACGAATCTTTGATCAGATTCAAATACAGTGATTTGCAACGCCTAACTAGGAGCTTCTCAGAGCAGTTAGGTGCAGGGTCTTTCGGCTCTGTGTTCAAAGGGGCTGAATCAGACGGCACTACAGTGGCAGTAAAAAAGCTCGAGGGCTTTCAGCAAGGGGACAAGCAATTCAGGGCAGAGGTGAGCACCATAGGAAATATTCATCACATGAACTTGATTCGGCTGCTTGGGTTTTGTTCTGAAGGAGTGAAGAGATTGCTTGTCTATGAGTATATGCCTAATGGTTCCCTCGATAAACATTTGTTTGGTAGTAGCTGTACCACTTTAAGTTGGAAAATAAGATATCAAATAGCTGTAGGGATTGCCAAGGGTTTGGCTTATCTGCATGAGGAGTGCCGGGATTGCATCATACACTGCGATATCAAACCACAAAATATATTGTTGGATGCTTCATTTGTTCCAAAATTGGCAGACTTTGGATTGGCGAAGTTATTTGGCCGAGATTTTAGCAGAGTTCTAACATCTATGAGAGGAACCGTTGGATATCTCGCACCAGAATGGATAAGTGGTGAAGCCATCACAACAAAGGCAGATGTTTTCAGCTACGGAATGATGCTTTTCGAGATCATTTCAGGAAGGAGGAATCTGGAGCACAAAGACACAAGCATGGCAACATTTTTTCCAGTGTTGGTTGCGAGAAAGCTTCATGAAGGAGAAGTACAGTCACTGTTGAGCAAAGAATTGGTCAATGGTGTAAATGAAAGGGAGCTAGAAAGAGCATGCAAGGTTGCTTGCTGGTGCGTTCATGGTAATGAAAGCTCCAGACCAACAATGGGGGAAGTTGTCAAAATTCTGGAAGGGGTGATAGATGTTGAAATGCCACCAGTTCCAAGATACCTTGAAGTTCTTTCTGAAGGTTCAGAGAATGTGAAGTTCTTTTCCTAAGAGCCAACTAAGTGAACAGGTCAGCGGAAATAAGTTTTATATGAGGGTGATCCTATAATGTAATTTTGATGACTGCAGTGTGAAGCCCCCTTACATGAGCCAATTCTTACAATCATTTAGGAAACAAAGGTTGGCTCATTTGTATGTTCTACTTGTGCCACCAGAGCACTATTGTCCCTCTACTTTCGCAATGCTCAAATTGATTCCACCCTCAATCAAGTCTTCTCCAAATAACTCATGTAAAAAAATAAAATGAAATGCCAGTTTTTCAGCTTGGATTGCAGTGGCAAAGCCCAACATATGTCTGGACTGAAAACTGACCGGCTAAATGCAAAAAAATACTTCCAACAAAAGTAGAGCACAAGTGTGTGCTTAAAGTTAAATTTAAACTCATCGATTAATGACATATAACAAAACGGATAAAACATGGCAACCAGTGTAGAATAGAGCGACAACAAAGTTACCGTGCTACAAAAAATTGCAAGATGTATCCTACATGCGCCAGGCGGTAATCACTAGCAAGCAAAGTACTAGCAACACCACATTATACTCGAGCTCTGCGTATCGGATTTCAGTCGCTAGGGCAACTAACCCAGGAGGCACGGCACGGCGATGCTGAACTGCGGATGGCCGCACGCTCCCAGAATGATGAGCCCATGAAGGACCGATGCAGCGGCACAGCGAAAGGCAAAGAGCAGGCGGGGCCAGGCGTCGGCCTTCGGACACGGGGCCCGAGGGACGACGCAGGGCTCTGTGACCGGAAGGCGCCTAGGCGGGATTGCGGGAGGGGGGATTTCAGGGTCAGTAGTGGCGCGGTCAGCTGCGTTGGAGCCGCCGCCGGTGGCCGGTGTCGAGTCTGCAAGCGAGACAAGGTTGCAGACGAGGTGGCTGTCCAATTTTTCGATGGGCTGGGTTTCTTATCTGCTGCTGGGCTGACTGATCAATGTGGGCTTCATGGGCTGGCGGTGCCGCTTGCTTGGATGACTAGACTCCAGACGAGTCCATTCCATACTCCAATTTACCTCCCTTAAGCTCTCTAACTTCCAAAACCATTTTCATCTGGGTGGTTGCTGATGTGGCGCTACGTCAGAGTGGAATAAATCAAACCGAGCTGAAAGGTCAGTCATGCTGGAAATATTTTAGAAAAGTATATCTAAAAAATCATAAAAATAAATTTCAAGAATTTATCCAATTCCTTTTACATGGACACATAATGCAATTAATAATCCCGAAATCTGGTTTAACTTTAGAACGTGATGCCCATCCTGTTGTTTGGTGAAGCTTCATCGGCTTAACCAGTGTAACTCAGCAGCAGTTGACAAGTATGTTAAATAACTATATACTGCGACATTTTTTTTTGATTGGGTACAAACAAAAAAAAAAATCCTCTGTTGTTTGGCGAAAACCTTAACCTAGGTCGTCATGGTTTTGCTTTCCGCTGGATGCTCGGCATTTTTCAGCTAAGCCAACCTGGTACCCCAACATGAACGTACCAACAGCGGCTATTGAAACCAACCATTGCTCCAGATGCGGCAACGATATATTTGACTTGAGCCCCTTAACTAGCCTGCAAAAGTTGGAAGAAAAATTACAGCCCAAAAAGTTATTACGATCGCACAAGCAGCTCTTCTTTTTTACTAATTATTATATATTTTTTGATGATTTTGCATGGCACAGGAGGCATACGCCGTTCGGTTGCTGCGACAAGTGTGGAGAGCACGAACAGAGAGGGTCCCCTTCCCTGACCCTAAGAAGGCACGACGAACTGTCTGAATCACTGAAGAACGCAGAATTGCCGCCATCGATTAAAGTGCTAGGCTGTTAGTACATTACCCAACCGAGAAAAAGTTAGCGCAGCATCAATATGCACTTCAACTGATCAACAAAAAATTTTAAAAAATAAGAGCTGAGTGAAGCTTGCTTTTACAGATTTTAGGTTAACAGGGCTGGATTAGTTACTTATTGGTTCACTGTTTCCTGTTGCTGAGAAACATTGATACTGATGAATGCAAAGTCCAATAAAAACGTAGGTATATATATGAAACTAATTTAGGAAGATGGACTGAGCAACTCAAACTGTGCCAGGTTAAATTAGATTGTGACAAAGGAATGAACAAAAGAAAGCCTATATTCTAGCTGAGCAGATGATTGTGTTAATTAGTTTTAGTTGTCTCGGTTCTATATTACACTAGTACAGAAAAGATTTTTAGGAATGTGATTGTGTTAATTAGTTTTAGTTGTCTCGGTTCTATATTACACTAGTACAGAAAAGATTTTTAGGAATTCCTCCCTTTTTTTACCAGAGGCAGTTAAACTAGCACACCGTCTCTAACGTTGTCAGGGAGCACCGTAGCTCCATGACCGTCGCTGAAAATCCATTTTCAGGGACGGTTCCATTAAGAAATCCGCCTCTAAAAATGTGGTTTCATTAAGAGAACTGCATCTGAAAATGCTATTTTCAAGAACAGTTGCTTATGTCAACCATCTCTGAAAATGAGTTAAGACAACCACCTCTGAAAATCAATTTTCAGAGACGGTTGACTCCTTGAAAATAGCCGCAGCACAAATAAATTCATATCTTTTTTTAAATGAAGTCGGATGAAGACAAAATTATATCAAAATTATAGAGCTAGACGAGATTTAAAACTTTGTAGTTGATTTTTTTTTAGATCATTTAGGGTTCCAAATATATAAATTAAGTCTGATTTTTCATTTCAAATTTTTGAATTTCTCAAATGACCTTGGATGGAGAAATGTCCTATATGAAAGTTGTAGTGCTCGAAGAGATCTAAAACTTTGTAATTGAAAATTTTCCCATTTAAGGTCGTTTAATAGTCTAAATATTGATTACAAGATCCATACGTATTAGTATCAATGGATATCATTGTATATCTCAACACAAGTGACTATGTGGTATAGTGGTAGGGGACGAGTTCGAATCCTAACTGCTGCGCTACATCGGATGGTGGTGCAAATTAAAGTCTACAAGTCGCTGGTTGGTCCTCAAGGCAGGGCCTCTGAAAATCACTTATTTTTACAATCGGGGGCATTATCGTGGTTTTCTAAACTGCCTCCGAAAACTGATTTTAACCGCCTCTAAAAATCTTTTTCTGTACCAGTGTTATAGCCTATTAATTCAGAAAAATTTTAGGGCCTTGAAATAGGCGGATTCCCCTCTTTTTTCCTGCCATGTCATTTTAGCACTCATGTTGTTGGTTGAAATACGAATTATGGTTGTGTCAATATTTTTTTGAACACTGTTGCATCAATATGTATTTGGTTACTTGATTACGCCCTATTTAGGTATATAGGCTACCCATAGTTCATGAATATATTTTGTCGTATGGTACTTTTGAAACAATACCTTCCATATTAGTTTATTCTTATTCTCCTGTATGATGCCGCTCAACCTAGATCTTTTTGCCCAGGCCTGTTACGCACCATGTGAAGTGTTTAATGCACCTACGATACCACCAATTGAATTGCGACCCTTCTTCCAACTTGGTAAGTTATTGTCCTCCAACTTTCTTTGTTGCTTCTAGCCATGTTTGTGCCACTAAACACTTGTATGTTTTGTGCATCAAATTAAGGTACCTTCATGATTTGCTAGACCCTACTCCAGTATATGTTCAGGCTGTTGTGGTTCCTTCACCTGCATTACGCTCAAGAATTAGGTTGCCAGACTTCATGTTTCCAACTATGCCAATCCAGTGATTTTAATTATTGCTCTATATTGACATGTTTGTATGTTGCATGTTGCGGTGGAGAGATAAATTGGATATCTGATTTTCAGTGCATGTCCATGTTTTGCCATCCATTAACAAATTTTCATGTCCTAAGATTGACCAAAATTAAAGAAAGGAGAAGGATCAAAATTCTTGGACAAAAGAAGCACACAAGTAGGGGGAACAAGCTCATGAAATTGATTGATTGCATTTGATATGTGCATTTTTATGTGCTTGCTTGCATTGCATAAGTTTTAAAATTTGATATACATGCTCGTGTGGTGTATGTTAGTGATAGAATTTGATTGATGAAATAAAAATTAGCATGCATAGGATGGTAGCTAGACTTGTGTTTTTCAAACAAAAACTAGAATCTTGCTTATAATGTTGATCTTACGGGGTTTCTAGTGTTTTTGTTGTCTAGCTACTCATGGTGCTAAAGATGGTGTTAAAATGTGCACTTCGATTGGTATCACACATCAAAGATTAATTCTTTACACCTTAGCATCATTGGTAGTAATTACTCTCCCATAAATTCTAATCTATGTATATGTGCGAGCTTCAAACCAAACACTCTAGCACATATGTAGGGGGAGCTAATACTTCCAAAATCATTTACACATGGTAAAATTGCTTGGGCAAGCAACATGAATCCAAAAGTGCTTAATTTCCATATCTTTGTAGAGTTGTCATCAATTACCAAAAAGGGGGAGATTGAAATGTCCTTATTTAGTTTTGGTAATTGAATGACAACCTTAGATGGACTAATATGTGTTTGAGTGAGAGACACAGGTGATTAGTCCATAAGTACATCATGTGTGAGCAACCTATGCCATGGAGGTGAAATGGCTTGGATATGTTGTAAGGCTCACACATGTGATGAAGGAGCTCATTGCATATGAGACATGACATTGAGTCATGTGACTAAGGTGGAGAAGATCAAGACAAGGCTTGGCTTGATGAACCGGTTACAAGTGTGAAGGGCAAGTCTAGTGAGGACTCGGCGCCGATGGACCAAGACAATGGAGAAGAGCAAATGAGGTCAAGATAGAACCAACAAGGTCACGTGATAATATGAAGTGGATCATATCATTTATGATCATGTTGGTGCATGTGTTGCATCGACATTGGAGGAGATGGAATGGAATGCGCAAGGCAAAGGTATAACCTATAGGGCATTTCATTTCACCGGTCATAGGTGTGTAGAGAAGTTCATGATCGGATTTAGGATAGATGACCGTACTATCAAGAGGGACAAACTTGTTTGCATATCGGTCATCTAGTGTCACTTGAGTGATCTAACTTTGTATCGTTGCTAGGATCAAGTGGCATGGTGAATTGAGTGACTGATCCTTTGGAAAATGTTTGTGAAAATGCTAACACACTTATACTTTGTGGTGTACACTTGGTGGTGTTGGCACATTTGCAAAGGAGAAGTCATTGGAGTTGAATTGGATCAACTTGGAGAAGAGAGAAAAGTTTTTCGGTGTGCTCCAAACTATGTGATGGCTCTTGGATTGGAATTCTATATTGATCCATTGTGTTTTGGATCAAATATGCAAATGGGATGTGTAGCCCTCTGAATAATCTTTTCAAAATGTCCTAGATCATCGAAATTAGACTTCGGAGCTAAGAGTAATAGCCATTTTAGCGCTGAAATGTCTGTGACCGGACTCGGTGATCGGACGCATCCGATTAGTATCTGTGAGTCCGGTCAAGAGTCCGGACAGTGTTTTTAACGCGTGTAGGAGCGACCAGACACACGATTGAAAGGTCCTAATGGCTAGAGGGGGGGTGAATAGCCTAATAAAAATTTCTACAACAACACTTAACAAAACGGTTAGACAATTATGAGGCGAAGCAAGTATTGCGCTAGCCTACTCAAAATGCAAGCCATCTACTACAATTCTAGTTTATATAGTTTCTATCTACACAATAGTTATGTCAATACACTAAGTTAGTTTGCTCTCAAAGGCTAACTAAAGAGCCACACTAACTAAACTAACAAGCTCTCACAACTAGCTACACTAAAGAGCTTGATAACTAGTTTACGGTAATGTAAAGATAGTGAGCAAGAAGGTTATACCGCCGTGTCGAGAAAGGAGCCAATCAATCACAAGAATGAATACCAAAGAAGACCAATCACCTCGGAATTAAATGATGAACACAATGATTTTTACCAAGGTTCACTTGCTTGCCGGCAAGCTACTCCTCGTTGTGGCGATTCACTCACTTGGAGGTTCACGCGCTAATTGGCATCACACGCCAAACCCTCAATAGGGTGCCGTACAACCAACACAAGATGAGGATCATACAAGCCACAAGCAATTTACTAGAGTACCTTTTGGCTCTCCACCGGGGAAAGGTCAAGAACCCCTCACAATCACCACGATCGGAGCCGGAGACAATCACCACCCTCCGCTTGACGATCCTCGCTGCTCCAAGCTGTCTAGATGGCGGCAACCACCAAGAGTGACAAGCGAATCCCGCAGCGAAACACGAACACCAAGTGCCTCTAGATGCAAACACTCAAGCAATGCACTTGGATTCTCTCCCAATTTCACAAAGATGATGAATCAATGATGGAGATGAGTGGGAGGGCTTTGGCTAAGCTCACAAGGTTGCTATGTCAATGAAAATGGCCAAGAGAGTGAGCTTGAGCCGGCCATGGGGCTTAAATAGAAGCCCCCACGAAATAGAGCCATTGTACCCCTTCACTGGGTACAGCGCGGGGTGACCGGACGCTCCGGTCGGATGGACAGCGTCCGGTCACGTGATTCACGCCACGTGTCCCCTGCTTCAAAAACTGTTCATCAGACTTCAACGGTCATCTGTTGACCGGACGCTGTGCACAAACTGACCGGACTCTGAGCCTCCAGCATCCGGTCGTTTCCAGTAAGGTTCCAGAAACGATATTTCACGACCGGACGCGTCTGGTCATGCTTGACCGGACACAGCCAGCGTCCGGTCACTTGTTGACTTCATTCTGCGCTGTTGGTCAACATGACCGGACACTGGACCACAGCGTCCGGTCGATGACCGACGTTGGCGTCTACGCTATCACACTTGACCGGACACGCCGATCCCTCTGAGACCAGCGTCCGATCACACAGTGACCAGCAAGACTAACTCCTCTTCTCCTCTAACTTCTTCACCCTTGCTCAAATGTGCCAACCACCAAGTATACCACCTTGTGCACATGTGTTAGCATATTTTCACAAACATTTTCAAGGGTGTTAGCATTCCACTAGATCCTAAATGCATATGCAATGAGTTAGAGCATCCAGTGGCACTTTGATAACCGCATTCCAATACGAGTTTCACCCCTCTTAATAGTACGGCTATCAAACCTAAATGTGATCACACTCTCTAAGTGTCCTGATCACCAAAACAAAATAGCTCCTACAAATTATAACTTTGCCTTGAGCTTTTTGTTTTTCTCTTTCTTCTTTCCAAGTCAGAGCACTAGATCATCACCATACCATCATCATCATCATGCTATGATCTTTATTTGCTTCACCACTTGGAGTGTGCTACCTATCTCATGGTCACTTGATAAACTAGGTTAGTACTTAGGGTTTCATCAATTCATCAAAATCAAACTAGAGCTTTCAACGGTGAGTTCGGTCAGTGATGACCTGACGCGTCCGGTCAACAAAAGAGCTCTCTGATACCTCTCTGGAAGTGACCAGACTTTGGAAGAGTCGAGTCCAGTCATAGGAAAAAGGGGAGTCCGGTTAGTTGTGCAGAGACGCGTTGGTGATCGGACTCGGCCTCGGCGCATCCAGTCGCTAGACCTAGACGCGTTCGGTCAGGAGTATGCGCGTGCGGAAGCTAGCCGTTGGCGAGCAATGGTCATCTTCGAATGGCTAGTACACATGGCGCACAAGGAGCGACCGAACTCTGCGACCTGCGTGTCCGGTCACTGCAGCAGCGAGTCCGATCAATATGAAAGTGCCCAGTGAAGGGGGTAACAGCTATTTTAGCCTTTGGGGCTATAAAAGGAGTGTGTGGCCGGCCTTGGTACATGCATGGCACCCTTGGGACTTAGTGTCCTTGCTTGGGGAGTGCTAGGAGAGCCTCTAACTCACTTATACTTGCAAGAGTGAAAATCAATTACGAGTGAGTGATTCTAGTGCGATGGCATTGAGAGATTGCATCGAGTGGCACTAGATGTTCGAGTTGTAAGCCGGTGGTGCTTGCTACTCTTGGAGGTTGCCACCTCCTAGATGTCTTGATGGTGGTCTCCGTCAAAGCACGCAAAGAGGATTGTGCGGTGCTACGGAGAAGTGGTTGTGAGGGGTATTGTGCTCACCTCGCGGGAGCCGAGAAGAGCAACTCTAGTAGAGCGTGTCATTGAGCTACCCTCACTTGGTTTGTGGGGTTCTTGCGGCGCCCAACGTGTGGGCTTGGTGTGGTGCCAATTAGCCGCTGAACCACTAAGTGAACGGTCGACACAACGAAGACTAGCGTGTTGGCAAGGACGTGAACCTGAGGATAAAAATCATCGTGTCATCCTTGTCTTTCCGTTGGTTTGCAATCCCCTTACACAAGCTTGTAATTACCTTCATATACATTGTGCTTGTGTAGTTGCTCTTGTAATTAGTTGACTTATGTAGTTTGCTAGTTACCTTCTTACTTGTGTAGTATAGAAGTAGCTCCCTTGCGTAACTAATTTGGTTTTAGTAACCTTGTTAGTTACATTGCTTAGTTTATGTAGCTAAGTGATTTGCGTTCTCTAATTTGGCTTGTGTATCCTTGTTATTGAGCATTGCTAGTGAGCTTAGGAGCTTTGTGCTTTTACTTACTAGATTGTGTAGGAGCTCCCCTAGTTGCATGAAGTACTAGTTGCATAGCTAGCCCGACACCTTTGTTGCCTAATTAGGATCTTTATAAGGTGCTTGTGAACTTAGATAGAGGGGTGTAGTCTTAGCTAGACCGATAGTTTTAATTCCGCATTTGTTTCAGTTAGCCGGCGCGATTAGTTTTAGAAAAGACTATTCACCCCCCCTCTAGTCTGCCATCTCGACCCTACACCTCTAACGTGGGATCGACTCATGACAATTTCAGCGCTATAGTTTCTGCTTGGCCCCAACGTCCATCTAGCGATTGCTTACTGTGTTTCCCATATTTGCCCATTTCAAAGCGTGCTCTTTTACAGTAGAAAATGGGGCATCGGTTTTATGTTTCCCCTGCGTGTTTTCCGCAGCTTAATTTCGATGTTTTACTTAGTTTTTAAACAGTAGGTACCAGCAAACTTAATGTTTCACCGAGCATTTTTCCTGTTGATTTTGAATTGATTAACATTTTTTGCCCAGAGCCTAGGCGCCTGTGTGGCTCCACCTTTGGTCCATGCCACTTCAATAGGTATGTTTCTCTTGCGTACGGAGGGCATGTGCCTGTCTCTTCCGCGTTTCACTTCATTTGATCCTCTAATCCCCCATTCTTTGCTTTTGTTTCCTACCAGAATTGGCGCTCCTGACAGTAATCAGTGCCTTCGAACAACCAAGCGCTGAGATCTAGATCCCAAATCATGGACCTCATCATTATTATGGCCAAGGTGTTTGATCGAATAATGATGGGTTGGATTTGTATGGGATTAAACTCCAAGGACTTGATTCGTGAATCTAGGACATGATAATTGTGCATGAATGTGTAACATTGAAATTACTTGAGACCTGCATTTTTTTACCTTATGTAACAAATTGTTATTTACTACAGGATGTTCCACGGACCACCAATATTGCATTTACATGTTATTGCACAATGTTTGGTGCATGATAGGTTTACATAATGACCTCATCTATGTTACTTTTTTTTGAAATTGTAGTTGGGCCTCAATGAATTGTGAAATATTCATCTGATAATTCTAAGTGGTCTTTGAGGTTGTATGGAAAGAACACAAGACAGTCGTAAACGTTACCAAGACATGTTTTCTATTTATAGAGCACGTATACTCTGTTTAAGTGTTACTCCACGCACGCAAGGGCGCGCGCATTGTACTAGTCTAATAAAAAATAGTGGCGAAGCTCTTGTCGTGCTTTCGAAAGGATAGTTGCAGGGTGGGCATGGTGGAAGATGAGTAGCCATTCCACTTAAAAATACTTGTATTCCTTTGGCATGTCGCTAGGCAAAGTCAATGCGGTACTTTAAGACCGACAAATCCAAGTGATTTATTTAACTCAAGATTGATGGTGGTGAATCTTGATTCATGAAAATATCTTGCCATAGCTATAAAACAGTGAGTATGGCTGACTAGTGTCATAGACCAAGCCAAACAAAAAGTATCTCAGTTCCGAATTATAAGACGTTTTGGTTCTTTTTGTACATAAATTATTTTTGCTACATATCTAGACATAATATGTATCTAAATGCATAGCAAATGCTATGTAACTAAAAAAATCAAAACGTCTTATAATTTTATATGGATGGATACATTTGAAACACAACCCAAAAGCTCTGAAACTCTAGTTCATTTGTCTCTCATGATAGACTTGAACTCCGCCCTTGAGATTTTTGTTTCAAGAGGTTGCTTGAGGGATGACATTCTTCTCCTTAGCATGCTCGGAAAATTTCTCAGCAGTTGCAGCCAATGGTGCCGTGCTGACCATAGCTTCAAGTTCTGGGTGCGCATCATCAATCTCATACTCGATAGTCGACCTTATCACCGACGAGTTGGGCCCTTTTGAAATTACCTCAAACCGTATCATGTAGGCCAGGAACCCCAGCTTCAGAATGTCGCCATCAATGGCTTCTGCCTCCTTGATAAAGTTGTCGTTGTCAACTTTGATGAACTTCTCCTTGTAACTCTGCAGCCCAGGAATCCCTAGCAAGAGCAGAGCAGAGCAATTAAATGTTGCTACTACTATACTATATGTTAGCATATGCAATATCAAAGATTATGGCAGCCACGTGTCTTTATACAAATAAAGTTTGTCTCACCAGGAGGAAATGTTAGCTGCAAGATGGTACCAACACCGCCGTCGCCGCTGACGAGCTCGACCTTGGCGAGCACGTGCGGGAGCAGCTCCGGCAGGAGCTCCGCGGCGCGGAGCGTGCCGTAGATCGCCCACAGCTCGGAGGCAGGGACGTCGGCCTCGTGCTCGTGGACCTTGCTTCCCTTCATTCCTAGTTCCTCGGGCTTTCAGCTGCCGCGGTGTATGTGTTAGGTGAGCGGCCTGTGGAAGCTCTCCGGTGTGCCTGCTGCATATATATAGACAAGCCAGACTATACCGAAAGATATGCTTATCTTTTCTGCTTGGGATCTCCAAGAGCTGATGCGGCCAGACTGAGCAAGGCTGGCATTTGGCTGCATCTGCTCCTCATCAAGACGAACAAAGAGTTATTATTGCCTGATGAGCAGGCCTGAGATATTGATTACCATATGTTTGGCCGCCCTGAACCGGCCGAAGTCAGTCACTTCTTGTGTAGTCAGTCACTTGGCCGCCCTTATTTGTTTTTTTAGCAAGCTTGGCTTGTTTGGGACGACACATTTGTTTGGATACAGTCCGTGTCTGCTCCCTCTCATCATAAATACTCGTCGCAACTGATTTTTTCTATCGATCTTTAACTTTAACCAGTATTTTGTTCTTATTAAACTGAAGCTGTTATAACCATGATAATACGAAAATGATTTTAATAAAATATAAATATATGTTTTCTATGTTTCTAAATTATTAAATACTTTAGAAACTATTGACAGCCGAAGCTTCAAAATTTTGATTGGATTTTGATCAAAGCATCAAATATTAGTGACCGAGTAGAGTATATCATGTTCTCTGTTCTAATTGGTGTGTCCTATTTACTTATTTATTTGGGAAAGATATGTTGTGTCCATCTCTCTGATTAATTGGAGTGTCCTATGTACTTACTTATTTGGAAAAGATACTTTTGTGTCCCTCAAATACGCCGGCAGACGCTTTTGTATTTAGTTTTTGCCACTAAGCAGACATGTCACGCCACTTATTACGTACTCCATCCATTACAAATTATATGTCGCTTTGACTATTTTGATACATCAATTTGCTATGTACAAACTCGTCTCTTGTTTACGTAGTGAGTCGCCATCTCCAGCTTTAGCTTCATAGTAGTAGGATGGAATGGGCAGCTTCAGCGTAGGGTCATGGTTGCCCGATGAGTTGGAGCCACTCTGACTCGGAGCGATGGTGGGGAGGTCAAGATGCTAAAGTGCTGGATGGAGGATGGCATGACTAGCACTGGTCACTTTAGTGTGTGTGTGTGGTGAGAATGACGTGCGGGCTGACATAGGGTCCCATAGAACATGTCGCTCGGGTGCATGGGGTGAGGCTGAAGTATGGGGATCTAGGGTGCGATGGGAATGTTGCTCGGACGCATGGGGTGAGGCTAAAGTATGGGGATCTAGGTAAGAAGGAATTTTGTTATAGTAAAAAAGAAAAGAATGTAAGCACAACAGGTTGACATAGGGTCCCATAGAACAGAGGTGATTCTCACTGCAAGCAATAGGAGCATTGTGTCAAATATGTCATCTATCCCATTTTGTCCCATCTCTCCTAACAAACAAAGACACTGCTACATGCTACAGAAAGTTCATCACCGTCGGTAGTGAAACGTCGACAGTGACTGCCGGTTAAGAACTAATGGTGATTAATATGCTATCACTGTTGATTTGGCGTTTGATCCGGCTGTGATCATGGCATGGTCACCACTAGTATATCTCTCAAATTTCATGACAATCCACTATGGTGTTGTTGTTAGATAGTACTATTAATTCTCCTGTATAGATTCTCTTAATGTACAACGCAAAGATAATTCTCGCAGCAACGCGCGGGGTATCGTATAGTTAGCTAAACACCTCTAAAAGAGATCGAATTGGAATTCCATATCTCTCACTAAAAAAAGGTTGTTCGCAACCGCAAGGCGTCCAACGACGTGAGGAGAGGCCCTCTGCGCATGCCGTTCCGGCCAAGAGCGGGGCAGCCTCCCCCAGGGGCTGGCACTGGCACGGCCACGCAGGAGAAGGTGGCGTACCCTTACGCCGGAACCGACGCGACGTTGAAGCAGCCTGCGGTGTGGAACGGCAAGGTTACTTACTGCTGATGGAGTTGGAGCACGCGGTGGCGCGCACACAACAACTACTCCCACGAATGTGAACAGCCTGCCCACACCACAAAGAGGACGCCGCGGATTTCTGCTACCCGGATGAGCCAGAGATGTCGACGGTGAGCTGCGTCGCGAGCAGAGCAAGAGACGTCCACCGCACAGCCTCGATGAAGACACCACCTCGACGGGCTTGCGACGCGGGTCAGGCCGACGGCCAACCTCCTGACTGACACAGGATGCTTTGCCCCTGCTCTGATCCCTATCGACGGCCGACCGAGACTGAAAGCGGAGGGGGCGATGTGGGTTCGGTACTGTCGAAGTGCCAACCCAGCCAGCGGAGTTAGCACGGCCAGCCAGACTTGGCTAAGCTGCAGGTGCAGAACAAATGGCCGGCTGTCTCTGGTTCTCTCTTGACTGCACAGGGGACATGCTGTATGACTCTGTGATCCTCACCGAAGACGACGATCAGCGGTCCACACACGCCAGATCACCGCCAACCACATGAGGAAACAGAAGTAGTGCAGTAGGAATCATAATGTATAACCATCGTCCAAAAGTTGACCGAATAAAAATCACAATCTAGCTTCAAAATAATTCTAGAGGATATGGAATGACGTTTCCTCCACGTTTTGAAAGAGCGCATCTTCTCTCCGTCTTTGTTTTGATGGTTCCATTACAAGGGCATACTGGCATGACAACAATGTTAAGCAGAATCACAGATTCATATGGCCGGCACTAATTTTAGAAGGGAAAAAAAGATGGGAAGATCAGAGTGATGAACAAAAAATCGATGGCCAAAGAACCAGAGCAAGTCAACAAGTCTGCTAAATGCCAAAGCAGTAAACAGAGGACAAGCCGTTGTCGCGCCGTAACCATTGACCACAGACGCAGTCTCATAAATTATCCAATGTCAACCCCGCTCTTTCAGAGTTCACACATCACTTCTTGTTCTTGATCCTCCTCCTGGCCCCTCTTTTACTGATTCAACAGTAATAAGAGAATAAAGACAATAGTGCAAGTCAGCATAAAAATCACTGGCCAGTATTAACTGACAACCAGAATTGATCCTTTTGTTCAGAATTAAAAGGGGATAATGTCCACTAAAACTGCACGGCAGTGTAGACATCAAAGGCCGTCGGAAGTCAAAACTAACACTTCTTCTCGCCTAGAAGACACCTCAAACCAAAAATGTAGGAAGTTAGGTAAATGTCACGAAGCTCCACACCAACAACGACAAATACAGTTCTTCCACAAAAAAACAACGACAAATACGTAGGAAGTTAGGTAAGCCACCCCATCAAAGGCCGTCGGAAGTCAAAACTAACACTTCTTCTCGCCTAGAAGACACCTCAAACCAAAAATGTAGGAAGTTAGGTAAATGTCACGAAGCTCCACACCAACAACGACAAATACAGTTCTTCCACAAAAAAACAACGACAAATACGTAGGAAGTTAGGTAAGCCACCCCCCCACACACATTTTTTAGTCGTCCCATTAAACCTGTGATCCAGCTTAAATAGCTGGTCAGCGCAACTATAAACTATAATACAATCGCATTACGTAATGGAGCCCTATCTGGCAGGATGCACCTATTTTAGCTAGTTCATGTGCTACTGTGTTACAGTCACGTGGAACATGCTCTATTTCTGATGAGTTGAACTGCAAGCCGGTCGTCCGAACAGGATAGTGCCTGATTCACCTGCAATGCATCTGTTTCCAAGATTATTCTTCCCATTCCTTGGGCACGAGCAGCTCTAACTCCCTGAATGCACGCAATCAGTTCAGAGTGCATAGCATCACTCGCATGCTCTAGTCTCCCAGCCCCAGCTTGGATTACATCCCCTTCATCATCACGGATGAAAGCCCCAGCTCCATAGCCCTGATTTCCTCAACTTGCCTTGCTGATACGAAGAACAATTCTGAGGGCTCCCTTCTCCTTCCCCCTTCCCGGATTTATTTCCTTACCTCACTCCACCAATGTTACAATAAAAACAGTTTCAGGTGAGCCCTATTTTAATCACACACCTCATGTTATAGTTATACAAATGAACAAAATGTGAAGCTCTTGAAGTGGTCAACAGGAAAACTAATTGTTAAGGTGATCTACTGTACTATGGAGTTTCACTTCCAACCAAGATTGTCACAATCCTAGGCTGAAGACAGCATTACGATCCTAGATTGAGTAGAAAAATGGCACCCTAGCCAGAAGCTTAACTTCTTTATGATCTTAGAGAAAGATGAGTACAATCTTAATCATAATTTACACACGGATATATAATATTCATATCTGGAACTATAATTTGTATTTGCACCATATTTTTGTAATGGAAACATTTAAAACATGATACTTATCATAATATGCACATAATACTATGCATTTTTTTGGCCAATCTGCATTTAATTGTTGCATAGCCATCGTATCAATGAATGCAAAATAGCTCTAGAGTGGTGCTAAATGACAAAACAAAAAACTAATACCACAACTGAAAGATGTGGTACAATTTGAAAATACACTATTTGATAAAAAAATTTAGGATTAGACATTATGATTCAACCCTATATTTAGATCCTAACATGGCACCTCTGACCGTTTCAAAGTCGAAGTTCTGGCTACCTTGTTTCCAACTCCATCGGCTCTCGAAAGTCAACCCAACCTTTCAAGATGACTTCGGAATTAGTAGAATGTAAGAAGTTTATATTCATGTGGCATAGTTGGTCCTATTATATGACCTTTTATTTCTATACTATACTTGCAGGGGAAGGATCAAATGGCAAATGGTACATAGGCATTTGGTACAATAAAATCCCAGGACAAACTATAGTGTGGGTAGCTAACAGAGAGAAATCAGTCTCTGATCCAGTCTCTTCAAACCTAATCATCTCAGACGATGGAAATCTTGTTATTCGACTTAACAATTCTGAATCTCCAATGTGGTCTACCAACATTAAGAACAACACAGCTCCCAATTCCACGATTGCCACGCTGCTTAATACTGGGAACCTTGTAGTCAGACATAACTCCAATACCTCCATTGTGTTGTGGCA